AAAAAAAAAAAAAAAAAAAAAAAAAATCAGAAATTTTCAAAACTGTAAAAGAGGCTATTTTGACCCATTTTAACCATACAGTTCAGGGAGATTATTGACATTCACGAGTTAGGCAATCATCAACACTGTTTATTTGCAAAACGTTTTCACCCATTCAAACAGAGACTCTGTACCCATGAAGCAATAATTCCCCACTTTCCACCCTCCTACCCGCGACCTCGGAACCTCTCTTGTACTTTCTGTGTCTGTGAGTCTGCCTGTTCTAGACACTGAATGAAGTAGAATCAGACGGCGGTTGTCTTTTTTGGGTGTGGCTTATTTCACTTGGCATAATGTTCTCAAGGTTTCTCCATGGTGTAGCATGTGTCAGTGCTTGACTTCTGTTTATGACTGGATAAAACTCCGGTTGAGTTATATACAGGTTTTTCTGACCATCTGCTAATGGTCGCTTGGTTTGTTTCTATCTCTTGGCTGTTGGAAATAATGCTGTGAACATTGCAGGGATCTGTTTGAATCCCCGTCTTCAATTTTCTTTTTCTCTTTACAAAACACAGTGTGACTTTAGACTTCACATGACATCCCCCCAGCGCTGCTGGATTCCCAGAGCTTTGTGTACAGATGTTCGGACCTGGACAGGAAGAGGTGTGTTCAAAGAGGCCAGCACTGTGAGCCCACGTTCCTCTTGGGCTGCATAATGTCTGTGTCCCCTTTCATTCTATCGGGTTGTTAATTCTTGGTTATTGCGGGCTGTTCAGGCCCTCAATCTCCCAAACGAGTGGACGGCGAAGGCTTAAATAAACGACACAACTGAAATGATTTTAGGGCTCCAGGAGGGTCCGACTCTCTTACAAAAGTTAAGATTCTCTGGGTTCAGACAAAGAACTTCCCTGGGCGGCATATTTATTTGGTTTTCCAACAAAGGAGGAGGACACTGAAGAAAATGCAGGAATCTGGGCAGAACTTGGGAAACCCTTTAAGGACTTTTCCAGCCGTTATCTCCAGGAAAGCCTTCACCCAGGAGTGAGATGCCTGTAGCTACGGTCTCCTTTTAGGTAATTGGGGGTGGAGCCAAAAGTCCTCAGCTGTGGCCTTGTCTTGTCCTGTGAAGCCTTATGGCTTCCCCCACCATTACAGGCTTCACCCACCATTACAGGCCTCACCCACCATTACACCTCTCTTGTGCTTTCTGGACCAGTGACCAGTGACTCACAAGTAAACATGGAAAGCCGACTGGTTAATATTAAATCCTGTTCAGAGCTGCTACGTAGTGGTCTCCATCATCAATCTTTATTTTTTCCCCAGTACCTTCACAATGATCTACATCTCCAGCCCTTTTTTTTTAATATATATTTTTATTTTGAGACAGGGTCTTGCTAAGCCACTCAATTGCCCAAGCTGAGCTCAAAGTTGTTATCCTCCTGCCTCAGCCTCCCGGAGTGCTGGGATTACAGGTTTGGGCCAGCACAGCCAATCTGTTTTCAGTTCCTAGAGCTGCCAGGTCATCTGAACTTTTTAAGAAACCAGCCACTTTTCTGCACCATTTTACATTCCCACCGAAATGGGCAGTATTCCAGTTTCCCCTCATCCTCTCCGATGTTTGTTATTTTCCTAATTTGTTCTGACCTTAGCCATCTCAGTCAGTATGAAGTGGCATCTCGTTGTAGTTTTTGGTTGTAGTTTGCATTTTTCTAATGACTAAGGGTGATGAACAACTTTCCTTGTGCTTTTCGGTCACGTGTGTATCTTCTCTGGAGAAATATATCTTCATTTCCTTTGTCCTTTAAAATAATTAAGCTGTCAAAGAAAATAAAAAATAAAAAAATTAAGTTGCCCGCCTTTTTATTGTTGGATTGTAGGAGTTCTTTGAATATTGTGGCTATCACTTATAACTATTTTTGTTCATTCTGTA